CCGCCCAAACAAAAGGAAAGACAACAACAAAGGCATAGCCTCGGCCCGCGCCGCCGCGCACCGTCTGGCGCCGACAGGCCCGTCCCTGCCGTGATCTGACCCTCGTACATGTCACCCAGAGGCACCGTCTGGGTGGGCTGGTTGGGGTTGGTGCCGGCATGCGGGTTGACCCGCCCCTTGACCGTCCCCGTCGTCTGGCCTGCAGGGCGGGGCAGGACAGGCGGCCGCGTGCGATTCGTGAGGGTGGTGGGCGGTGGTGTGGGGCGAGCGTGTGCGTCAGAGGGCAGCGCATGTTGCAGCACACGCCAGCGGCAGCAGCCGCGGTGCTAGACGGGTGGAGGAGGTGGGCAGGCAGGGGCAGCCGGAAGCAGGTCAGATTTGGGTGCGGCCCTGCCGCTTTGCCGCACCCCCAAACGCCACCGCAGCAGCGCACGCAAGCCCCCTCTACCCCCCACGCCACGCCAACAGCCATCACAGCCACAGCGCACCCTCCACCCACCCACCGGCACCCTCCACCCAACCACCCAACCCACCCACCCACCCACACGCACACGCGCACCTGGCATGCCGCGCCCCCCAGCGTTGTAGTCTGCGCCATCAAGGATGCGATAGTATCCCGAGAAGCGCAGGCAGGCGCCCGCCCGGCAGCTGTTGTCGTCCATCACGGGCTGCGGGGTCGGCGGGGGGTGGGGGTGGGGGTGTTGCAAGGCAGCGGTTAGGGCTTGTTCAACAGCAGCGAGGTTTTGGAGGTATGAGCGAGGCGGGGGAGGGGCCAGGGGCGGGGCGCGGGCCGGAGGGCACCGCTTGCGGGCGGCGGCTGCCCGGCGGGGCCGCGCCGGGGCGCTTTCCCACCTCCCGCCACCCCCGCCGGCCCCGGCCTCGCGCCGCGTGCCAGCGGCGCCGGGGCCTGGCCGGCGGCAGGGGCCGGCTCGCCGCATCGCCTGCACCCGCCCGGGTAGCAAGCAAGCTCATCTTCCATCCTGATGCATCAACCCACCAGGTCCTTGCAGCCCAGGGTGGTGTCCGGGTCGTACAGGTCAACCAGCAGCGTCTCGGGGTTGCGCTTGCAGTACAGGTCGGGGTTGGCCTGCCACATCCACGCCACGCACCGCTCATCCATCAGGCACTCGCTCTGGCACACATATTGGTCGGCTGCGTCGTGGGACGGAGGGCGGGCAAACGGCGGGGCGCGGCGGGGTGTGTGTGTGGGCTCCCGCCGTCCCTCTCTCCCGCTCCACCTCTCTCACCCCCTCTCCCGCTCTCTCTCACACCCCCTCTCCCT